CATCTCATTAATATATATTTCTGTGGTTTACACATTGTCTTATATTTTCTTTTGTGAACTTGAAGCCCAGGAGGCAGGATGTGCTCTGGGAGGGCCCTAGGAAGTCATAACATAAAGTGTCCAGGAAAAGTGACCCAAGCTTGGCCTCAACTCTGCCCACGTCACAGACAACTGGGAGAAGGAAGTGGGCCCTATGGAATCTTCACAGACCTGAGTTCTCAGGCATGACCCAAAGGCAGGGAGAGTTTGCAGGCCACTTCTGTTATTTAACCAAAGAGAGATGATTTGCTTTGCTGAAAGAGAAATTGCATTTTCCAAAGAGCATTGAGAATGATTAATAACTCCATTTTTTCCCATCCCTTTCAAGTCTGCCCAGTGTGACAGTGTATTATTTAATCAAGAAAATGTATCTCCTGTCTAAGGACCTCCCCAACTGGGGGATTCCAAAGTTGTTGACAGGCTATTTTTGAAAACTACATGTCTGCTCATGAGGATTGATGAGCTGAAAGAGAGAGAATTCAATAACAAATAAATTTGCCCCAAGCTCACAATCTACTGCCTACTCTCTAAATACCATGAAATATCTGGCCCACAGATATTACTGCTAAACTTCATCACACAGATACATTATAAACCTTTTAATTCTCCTCAAAGGATTAGCTGAACAGCCAAACAGGTCATTTTCACTCACCTTGGAGAGTACTGGCAGAGAAGGCTGTGTTAATCTGTTTCCCACACTAAGTCCTCAATTATATTCAGCCATTTGACAGAATGAACCAGAGGCTATAACACGAGACAGAGCCTGAATGGATCCAGGCAAAAGCTAATGGGAAACTTGTCTATTGAAAATAATCAGTGCATACTTTGACTACCTCCAGCAGATTTGCTTTTTGTTTATTCCTGTGTTTGTTTTTCAGTGTGCTTGACTCGTCTGAATTAGGCTCCAGAAGTTAGTAAGTGTGAGGACCAGAACAAAGGATGCAGGAGAGGGAGAGGAGAGAGGGGTTAATGTTGGAGAGGCTGGCTGGGGAGATCTGAACCATCTGTGCTTTGTTCAAAGCTGGATGAGAAGCTTTGGGTGGGTCTTGAGAAAGGAGTCCTGTGATCTGACTGTTGAAGTTCCAGGTAGAAGAATTTTCTTCTTCTTTTTTTTCTTGAGCAACAATGCCTATTACCATAATTTTTACATGGTATTGCAATTAACTAAGGCATTATACTGAAGCACAGTATATCATTTATTCTTGTAGCTTTCTTGTCCAAAAGAGACCAATACGATCCTTTTTTTTTTTCTTTTTACTATACATTTGTTTGAAACAGCTTTCTGTTTTGCGGGGTAGGGGGACATTTTTACAATGGAACTCCAGTGATACAATGCTAGCAGTCATTATATGAATTCTTGATTTTTCACCAAAGTGTATGCTTTTGCCAATGCCTCTTCTTTTTTTTTTTTTCTCCCCCAAATGGAAGAAGCAATAGAATTAAGAATGAGGCATGGAATGTATCATTATTTTTGTTCATTTTACTAAGATTTTATCTCAAACTCAAAAATGTTTGGAACATTTTTATCTCCCAAGTCCAATAAACACTATAATCTGATAACTAAAAATAGAAAGTGAAATTAGCAAAAACTCATTTGTTCTGGTCTTTTTTTTTTTTTCAGCGTTTCATGTATTGGAAAATAATTATGAAAAGGAATATTAAGTCTGGTGCAAGCATCAGTAATTGTTCTGGAACTAATTCTACCTAACATGATTTAGTAGGTTTTACAGAATTCTACGAACAACCAATTTAAATTAGACACACCAAGATTTAAATCCATAAACTAACCATGTGGTTTGTTTAAAGCATTGGTGTCAGCCCTCTCTCTCCATCATGTGTCTGCTCTCACAGTGAAGAAACATTAACAAACATCAGAACTAACTATGACTCTCAGTCCACAAATTTACATGGGTGTATAAGAAATATCCACTCACTGTCTTTAAATCGAGCTAAAACCACGTCCGATCCCTCACCCCGCTCAACCGGGGGGGCAGCTGTGCTCACCAGGTTCCTTGGCTGCCAACTTCTTTACTTGGGAAATCTCTCCTGCCCCACTCCCCCCTTCACTTAAAAAGCATTTGCCGCTATCCTCTTCTGTCAAGGTAATCATTTCAGTGATGTCAGACTTTCTAGAAAACAAAGCCAGAAATTACAGTAAGGGTGACTTCAGTTTTTGCTCCTAAAATTAATTTTTCCTAAGGGCTGGACTTAAAGCATTCCTTTTAACAAATAGAATATAGCAAAAGTATTAGGGTGTAAATTTTATGATTAAGTTACAAAAGATTGCAGCTTATTGCTGGCACTCCCTGGCCCTCTTGCTTGCTTGCTCTGATAGAAACTGGCTGCCATGTTCTGAGCTGCAGTATGGACAGGCCTATGTGCAAAGAAACTGAGAGCGACCTCCAGCCAACAGCCAGTGAGGAACTAAGGCCCTCGGCCCAACAGCCCTGGAGGAATGAGCACATGAGGGGGCTGAGAGAGGCTCCTTCCCCACTCAAGCCCTGGGGTGTGACTAGAGCCCTGGCCAGTGTGGACTGCAGTCTCTGAGACTCTGCAGCACGGGACCCAAACTCGTGAGCTATACATGCACGAAACTTCAGGTGGGTGCTGAGGAGGGAGTGGTGTGATCTGGCTTGGTTTTAAGATCACGCTCCTGCTGGGTAGAGATGTGTTTGAGGGGCAGGAGTGGCCATGGGGGGAGCCGTTGGGAGGCTCTGGTGGGAATCCAGCAGATTCCCAACCAGATGGCAGTAGCTCCAACCAGGATGGCAGTAGCAAGGGAGGGATAGTTATGAGGTTCAGGGCAGAAGGGGAAAAAAGGTAGTACTAAATATTTGAATCATTTCTCCAGAAACTGTGAGATATGAATGCCGTTGTTTCAAACCACTAAGACTTGGATTCATTTGTTATGCAGAAGTAACTAACATAAGCCACCATGCATTGGTGGTGCCCTTGTCAAAGTATGAAGTTGAGAGCCAGTGAGGGGGTCTTAGCCTGTTTGCACACTGTGCCTATCAAATGTCACTTTCATTATATGTATTAAAAATATTTGTCAGTGAATGAAGAGTAAATGGAAACATAACAAAGAGACAGATACACCATAGACAAAGACTTCGAGTAAGGATAGTTGGAATATTTTTATAATTTTTTTGATCTGGTCAAAAACTGAATAACTAGTAGTGCTTTCATAAGGTCTTTGAGGTAAATGATGATAGATGAAAATTTACACCAGGGTGTAAGCAATATGTCAAATTAATTAAAAATTATGTGCTTAAATAATCATTTATTATGAATCATCAATAAATAATATTGACAGTAAAGTTGAGACTGAAAATTATGCAAATCATAACACAAATTTCCCCTTTACTTTCTTTTTTATTTTTTAAAGGTCCATTTATTTATTTGAGAGAGAAAGGGGAGGGGCAGAGGGAGAGAATCTTCAAGCAGACTCCTCACTGGGCACGGAGCCTGAAGCATGAGATCATGACCTGAGCTGAAACCGAGAGTTGGACACCCAACCAACTGAGCCACCCAGGTGCCCCACCTCTTTACTTTCTATTATTGCTCATAACCTGGATATTATAGAAAAAAATAAAATTACATTCCAACTGTGAATGGTGGGTGCCTGGGTGGCTCAGTCGGTTAAGAATCAATCTGCTGTCAGCTCAGGTGATGATCCCAGGGTCCTGGGATCGAGCCCTGCATCGCATCGGGCTCCCTGCTCAGTGGGGAGTCCGCTTCTCCCTCTCCCTCAACTTGCCCGCATGCACTCTCTCTCACTCTCTCTCTCTTAAATTAATTAATAATTAAAAAAAAAACAACTACAAATGGTAATATTTGTTCTTTTCGCATCCCGAGAAGGGTATAGCTGCACTTGAAACAAACATACCAGCACCGACAAAGAGAAGTTTCCTCAAGTGACAAACAAGCATGGGAGGGAATATGGGTTTTAGGCCAAATCAGACCTGCCCTGTAGAAATGTGACCCTGAATCAACCACATCGCTCGCATGTTTTTGACCCCATTTTTCTACAATGTTTGTGCGGCTAATACAGCGAATGGTTTGAGGAGTAGGGGCGAGATAAGGCATATAAAAATACAGGATGACAACTGCATTTTAAACTTCAGATAAACAATGAACAAGTTGTCATATAAGTACATCCCCCCCCCCCAAACTATGATGATTTACTTGGTGGGGAAGAGTGGAGTTCCCCAAGGGAGGGCAGACTACTCGATGAGGGGACTTGAAAGAGGCTGAAGAGAAAAACAGAATAAAGAAGTGCTCACAGGTGACACCCCCAATAACTAAGTGAAGAGGCTTTGGGGTTCTTTTCTGTGGAGACCTAATGAATGTATTCTGCTTACCACAAGTTTCCAGCAGAGGGCAGTAAAGTGTCACTGAGGGAAACGCAGGTGTTAGGCAGGCACCTAAGAGGAAACGGAGTCTAACTCAGTTCACAAGACTTGAATCAAGAGACTACCTCCCCACCCTTCCCGCGTGTGGACAAGGCTAAGGAGACCAGTGAGGGACATTGCACCTGGAGAGTGGCAAGAGCAGGAAGCCATCACCATTCCTAGACCCGAGAGCACAGAAGGAAACGGTGCTCACCGAATCCTGCGACCGCGGGAGCCCAGCCTCCCTCCCAACGGTGTGGACTGCGGCAGCCCCGGCCAGAGGTGCAGCCCCCAGCAGGCAGGGAGCGGGAATACACGTCCCATCTCTCCCTCGGCCCCTTCACTCTCCTCTCGGGTCTCCCAGCGGCAGAAGCCAAGTCGGTTGGCAAGGGAGCCCACGTGATAGGAGCAGTCAGCCTCCCGAGGCACCGACCAGGGCAGATTGGTCCCAGAAAACAGAACAGAGCCAAACCAGCACAGAGGCACGGTTTGGACTAAGGGCAGTCTGCCTTTTGTTAAGGAAGTGCTTACACGCTCATCGGAGTTCAATAAATCTGGCCTGGGAAGTCGTGGTATTTTTATTTATTAAGTCCTTTCCAGGTACGAATCAGTATGCCAGATCCTGGGGCGCGAGAGGTACTAGTAATAACAGTAGCTCACGTTCCTGGCTCGCTCGTTATGTTACAGGCACTGAACGAAATGCTTCACAGGCAATATTTTATTACATCTTCATGTCAGCCTCTCAGGCACTATTATTATTGACATTTTACAGATAAATAAGTAGGATGCATAGAAGTTAAGTCACTTGCCCGTATCATGAACTGCTGAGATGTGAAATCGCTTTAATCTGACTGCAAACCTTGGTCCCTGACCTGAGGGAACAGAGTCCAGCAGCAAAAACACTGGTTATAGACGAATGAAAAAAAAAAAAAAAAAGGCTACTGATAAATGTTATGTCTGCAGTAACTGTAGGGATTTATGAAACAAGATTCGTGGGGCAACCAACCCAGAACACAGTGGGGGAGAGGGCCAGGTGCTTATGAGGAAGCCCTGAGGAATGGGGACCTCATCTTGGCCATGGTATCTATCTTGTAAGTGTTCAATTATATTCTGCTTTGTAGCACAGCTATTTTGAGCAGAGCCCACGAGCCTTAGTGGTCCTCAGCTCTGGCTGCACCTGTGGATCACCTTACCAAAATGTCCTTGGGGCGCCCGGGGGGCTCAGATGGCATCTGACTCTTGGTTTTGGCTCAAGGGTCTCTGATCTCAGGGTCCCTGTGAGTCTCCGCTCAGAGTCTGCTTGTCCCTCTCCCTCCCCGCCGCCCCTTCCCCCACTTACCCTCTCTTTCCCTCTGTCTCTAAAATAATTAATTTCATGAAGTCTTTAAAAAATGTCCTAGACGCCACACCAAACCATTTGTTCCTGCAAAGGAGGACAGAGTTATTGACAGAGTTCCTGCAAACAGACTGCTGACATCAGTGTTTTGAAGTTCTCCCCAAGGGAATCTTCTCTGCAGAGAGAAAAAAAAAGTATTACTCTAAAATCTCACATTAGTAGGAGTAGTGTCTTATTTATTTTATAGCTTATAACTCTACCTTACATATAGTTCAATATTTAATTGAACTAACTTGAATCAAACAGCTAGAGGGAATAATTCATGAATGCGAAGAAATATAACTTGGAAGGACTCAAATTTAAAAAGGGGAATAATTTCCTTTATTAATGCTCTTTTCTTTGAATCCATAAAGGATATAGGACCCTCGTACTTGTCCCAGTGAATTATCAGCACACACTATTTTCTCAAGAAGCACATATTCATCCAAGTGTCCAGAAATTAATTGAGCTATTTCCAACGATATCCAATAGTAGGTAAGTCAGAGGTTAAAAAAAAAAAAAATCACAGAGGGGAAGACTCTGTGAGAGGTCATCACCAGCGTGGGTGCATCCTGGCAGAGACACTGTGACCTGGTAATGGTAGAAGACAGAGAGCAGTAGGGGTCTGGACTACCTGGAATGGGATACAGCTGGAGGGCTGAAGAGACACACACCAGAGGGGAAGAAAACAGAGCAAGTCGGGTCATTCTCCTGTGCTCTGTGTACATTTCTTGGTTTCCCAAGTTGGATAAACTTGTAGTGTGGATCTGGGATGAGCTAAAGGATTTCAGGAATTTTAATGAAGTAGTGCATTTGCAAGCCTGTGATATCTATTTGCATGAGTTGCTTTGAATGGGGGGGGGGTGGAGAACTGGTGCTTAGAGAAGCTTGTGCTCAGGTGCACAGGAGAGGAGAGCGGGAGGGAGAGGGCACAAAGCCTGTGCACAGGTGTCAGAGCCCAGTGGAGAGAAGTCAAGGGCAAGAGCCAGCGAGACATGGGCTATCCCCGCACTTGGGAATGGTTCCTCAAGTTCCTGAAGCCTGGGTAACACCCTCACCCCATCTCCAATGCTCTTTGATTTAATGTAGGCAGAGTTAGACCCACTTTTTTAGCACAGCCTATATGTGGCAGGTTAAACTTTTCAAAAACTAAAATAAGCAAATGAGAAAATTGGGCTGTGTGAAAAATAAAGCCAAAAATTTTAATATGAAGGCAGAATTTGTAATAATACTCAATAGAAGTGGAACACCCATTTTGATGCTGAGCATCCTAGTAGCTAATGCATAGGAAGAAACAGGATCTATTGCATGAAGATGTACAGTGTTGATAGGAGAAATATAAACTAGTTGCTCAGAGGTACAACAAATTCTTTCCAGAAGCCCCCCGTACCTGAATGTTCTCAGGAGACACTGAAAGAATCTTTTCTCTCCAATGAAATATATATATATATAATAAATATAAAACTAATTCCAATACTCTAATGGAAGAATTCATTCCTTCCTATTTCATGTAGCATACATAATAGAAATGTGATTTCTCCAAGTAAATTTCCCTTAAATCATCTGTCTTGCCGTGGAAACAAAAGAAGAAAATAAACACAATGGATATGACTATACCCCTAACGAAATGAATGGACATTAAGGTGACCTCAGAATTCTGTTTCAATTGACTGGTTTTGTCAAGAGCTATTTGCTACTGTAACACTGGGAAAATAAAGGATACATTAATATTCACTGCACAAAGACTAACACACTCAAGATTTGCTGGTTTCAGTCTGATAAAGACCATCAGGAAATAAATCTGCCTTCATCAGAGCCAATATACTTAATAACTAATTTGTCAAAATTTGCTGATGTGGCAACTCTTTTTGAGAAATGGGATTTCCAACAATAAGCCATGGATAGCAACAAGATTACTGCATCCAAAAAATGGCCCTTGTCTTGTCTTGTTTTAAAATAGTTTGGAGTGACATCAGCAAAATGGTTAAGATAGGAGTTTCCAGTGTTCATCCCCATAAAGATAGTATCTTAAATCACTGGACAAAAAATGGACCTGTTAAAAATGTAACAATTGGTTAGCCATTTGGAAAAAGAGGCGAGGAGGGAGGGTGAGAAACTACAGAAACTATAGAATACACTCCAGGTGTGTATATGAGGGTATGGATTGAAGTATTTCTCCTCTTTTGTATTCAAGGGCGGGGGCCAAGTCCTATGTGGTAAGCTAATAGCAAGATTTACCTGTCTCTCTCCTGATATAACCAGGACACAGGGGTCCAAGATTTGGGGTTGACTGGGAATGATTGCCTCAAGTACAAGGCATAGCCAGTGTCTGTGGAATTTTTCATGTTCCAATTCCCTCTCTAGGAGCAGGTCTCTAGGAAATAAATACTAGAAAAACTAACAATGACCATTACGTTATCATTTAATATAATGACTCACTATATGTCTATATAAAATTCTTAGATATTTGAAATGGTTCCCAATGATAAGTCCCCATCTTGTGATCTGAATCCAGTCAATGTCAGAAAATTATTTTTGATTGTAACACTTAAATTTGGATGTTTTTAGTATGGAAAAAGAGAAAAATACAAGCTATCTTTAAAAGGAAGTAAGTGCTTTGGATATCAAAACTGCTTCCCTGTGGGCAAAACATAGTTTGCTTACTGCAACTAATTTTCTGCACACAGTATGCTTCTGTAAAGTTGCTCAATCTAGTTTTTGTTGTAATTCAATTGATCTAACAAAGAGTAGTAGGTAAAACAATTTTGACAAATTAGTAATCTATAAACCGATTCAGGATAGGAAGCCAGAAAGGAAGACACTTTGGGGATTTGGTGAGGATGGTCTTTTAATTAATTCCTTCATATATTTGAAAGTAAAATATAACTGAAAAAATGAAATATTGGTAATCCTCTTTGTTTCATGCTTCCTAAGTTTTCAATAATGTGTATTATTTTTTTTATAAAGGAATACCTATATAGTAAATATATTTTATATTAGAAGAGCCAGGGTTTGGTATTTTCTGTGTATGGTATGTATTTTATTTTACTTATACAAGTTTATATATTTTTTATATTAAAATGTTCTATATGATTTTGTGGTTTTCTTTGGCAGTTAAAAAAATCAAATGTGTTCGGTATTTTTATTGACTACAAAAGAATAAACTTCTGTTGCTTTAAGCCACCAAGTCTATAATTTATTGTAACAGCCACAGAAAACTAGTACAGATGGAAAACGTGGGACAGTTACTTAAGTAATCATTACAATGATCATAGTGGGAGGAAATAGCCTCACTTAGTCAGTGAGGTGTGTCAACCGATGTGGGTGTGTCATATAAATTTACAAACAACCCATTTGTCTTACTGTGTAATTAACATTAAAAATTTATATAACTTGTAACTATTTATCTGTACCATATCTGAATTGATTCAAACTATTGTGCTAACATAGACTTAAAGTTTTTAAGACAAATAGCTTCAAAGGCAGAGTTCATTTAAGGCCGAGGGGAATGTGAATTTGGCTTTCTCGTGAGGTACGCATGGCTTGCCCTCAAAGGCCATTGAACCTACAAGAAGCTGGAGAAAATTACTCTTTGAACAATTAGTTACAAAGTGACACCTGTCTCATGTTGCTATGTCTAGCAGTTCAAAGGTGTAGTGCATAGTCAGCATTTCTATGGCTGTGCACCTTCCAAACTTCCGCTCCCGTTTGGGATAACCCACCACTGGTCTCGATGGAACACAGGGTCCTCCCTCCCATTATAGTCAACAAAATGGCACGATTCTTCTCTTTTCCCAGGAGCCAGGATGCGGTCAGATTACCCGGGCTTAGTTAATCAAACACTCCCACCCAGCACTCTGACCCTTTAGTGACTGACACATACACAGGGACACTGAGGCACGATTCGGGGCAGCAGGGGCAGCTATCTCTGCCCAAAGCTTCCTGTTTCTGCCCTGCATCACCGCACTGGTGTTCGCCCATATTCCAAGTTGCGTCTTCCAGAATCCCCCTAATGACGTGAACTCCTCCGATAAATTCCCTTTTTACTCGAGAGAACTGGCGTCAGTTCTGTTATTTCCAGTTTGGAGGTTTCTAACAGATACAATGGTCTTAGTTTTTTCGTATCTGTCTTCATATCTCAGTATTTTCTTAGGAGTTCGGGCTTCATTCATCCAGTAGGATTTCTCACTCAGAGATAGTGAAAGCACAGCCTTAAAATTATTAATGTTGATTAGCTTTTCAAGACATACCAGAATGAATAAGGTAATTGACACATCTGCACAGCTCTTTGTGACAAGCTACCAAGTGTTTTAGCATCCTTATTATCCCTTAGGATAATTAGAATTCTACTTGATACTTAATCTGTATAAGATAAAGGTGGTTAAGGTAATTTGTTGATTAACAGAACAATATAATAGATTAAATTTATTATCGAATAATCCATACTTCATACCAGTTGTTGTCTGAAGTATTATAAACATATTATCTTATTTAATCCTCATAGCAATCTTATGAGGCAGGTACCATTAGAATTCCTATTCTCCAAGGATATGGACACTGGGAAAAGATAAAATGGGGAGGGGGGTCAGTGAGGAGGGCAGTCAACAGTTCTGTTATTCCCAGTGCTCACTTTAACCAGTCAGTTTAGTAAGTCAGTTCTGTAAGGCCTTCTGACTCCTCAGGTGCGATCAGGTCTGGACAATTCAGTCACTGCAAGACTTTCTGTGTCCTTTATCTACTTCTTAAGTGCTCTCAAAACTGCACCACACGGAGACATTGCCACTGGCCTAGCACGTGTAGACTGAAGCCATCTGCAGAACTTCAAAAATGAATCTGTGGTTTAACTCGCTACAGATATAACGATTATTTAGAAGTAATAGTAGTGTGCTATCTTAATGTATCATTTTTTATTTATTTATTTATTTTTATTTTTTTAAGATTTTATTTATTTGCGAGAGAGACAATGAGAGACAGAGAGCATGAGAGGGAGGAGGGTCAGAGGGAGAAGCAGACTCCCCGCCGAGCAGGGAGCCCGATGCGGGACTCGATCCCGGGACTCCAGGATCATGACCTGAGCCCAAGGCAGTCGCTTAACCGACTGAGCCACCCAGGCGCCCCAATGTATCATTTTTTAAA